ATAAAAAATAATAAAAATAATAGAAACAAATATAAAATAAGAGAAAATAATTATGCACGGGATTAGTATAAATTCGTTATTAGGGATAGATTCATTATCATTACGAAAATATAATGTTTGAAGACCACAAGGACAAGGATAAGGACAAGGACAGTGTTATTTATTATAATATTATTATATAAAAACGTCAGAGTAACTAAATAACTTTGAGTTTATTAAAAAACTAAAGATTACATGAAAGAGAAATTTACAATGTATTTATACATTTTAGAGGTTCTATCATCTAGTTCTCCGATTTCTTTAATATCCTAAATTATATTAATTAATGTATTTTTTCATCATTATTTAAACCTTCCATGTAGAATTATTTTCTAGTCAACATGAGTCATGTAAAATTCTTTCGTTTAAATATTATTCTGAGATTTGGTCATCTGTTACATTTTAGAATGTTGGAATATTTATTTTTCCAATATTTCCGTGAGTCAATTATTCTATTATTATTGGTGTTTGAATAAATTGAACCATTTTGATCACTTGATCAGTTTTTCCGATTTTATTTGTGTGTAACTTCATGAATCATCTCCGATTTATATATCAGTTTCCCGTGATTTATAATTTACTATTTTACAATATTATAAATAAATAAAAATCTTTCTTTTTTTATTATCAAACTGTATCAATATGTATAGTTTTTATATTTAAATTCAAGTTGTTTTTTTTTGAAATTAAAATGTTTAAATATTCTGATTCATTTTTTATGGTAAAAGATCATCACTAATACCGATATGGTAATTCCAGACTGCAATTGATTCAAGATTCTCAACTCGGGATATTGCAACCTGGATTGCTGTTTTATCAGGGCACACCTAGAACTGCCTTTCTGAACTCCTGGCCATTTTCTAACCCATATGAAACCAATTTTAAGAGGTTTTTTAATAGTGTCTACCCCAGTTTCAAAGAGCTTTGAAAATTTTCCAAACTAATGTTTGAGTTTCAAAGAGCAGCAGTAAGCACACCCACACACAAGCAAAAGTTTTGTATCAAGGCAGGGGACTGACTAAACACACCCCATATATAAAAATGTGATTCATGTAAATTTTTGGCATATATTAAAATATTTATTATGTGCAATCATATATGCATTAATTATCTTTGTAAAAGGGAAAATAATAATTTTCAAATTCTTAAAGTCAAATATAAATTAATCAAACTAACTTTGTCCAATACAATACAGTTTCATTTGCTAAAATATCTCCATAAAAATCCTTTCTATTTTATGATGTTATCACAATTTCATTACAATCGTAGGATTCATCATCATGTGCATGAGCATCCAGTGATAAAAATAAAGATATGCTCTCCAACATTTGCATCTAACACCTTTTTATGTTCAGACTTTATAACTCCTTTACCCAGGATATTTGGTGAATGTCCAATAATTTCTTTTTTTCAACTAATAACTTCTTGCTTGTCTTGGATAAATATAGGTGGATTTGTCATCATTATCCCATCTGAAAAGGAGGCATTTGGCAGGTTGTGGAAAGCAATACACCTTTCTTTAAATTCTTTAGAATAATCATTAAAAAATTGATTCCAATGGTCTTTATCAACTCTGTAGGGTGTTGAATGCACAACAAACTTAGGTCCAAATTCAATATATTTATCTGATTGTCCTTCCAATGGAACCAATTCAGAAAGTCTACATTTCCCTCTTTGACTTTCAGTCACTTTTTTATCACTAATAGACTTACACTATAACCTCCAAAGACAAAAAACCATTACTGATAATGTCAATGTCTCATTTTTCATCTGATGAAAGTGTATTTTCTACAGAATGGAGAAGTTTGATTGCTGGTAGCTTGCTTTGATCTAAATTATGATAGACTTGCTGTAAAGTGAGAAATGGAAGTACTAGCTTTTTTGTTCAAGAAGATCAGTTCATCCATTTCCAAATCCTATAGGGAAAAGCATAAAACAAATAAATAATTTATATCTAAGAGCATGTATGTAAGTCATCAAAATCTTACTTCAATCTTTCTTTTTCCCAATGTGGTTGTCTGAGTAACTTCTCAACCAAATAAAGTATATGCAACTAACTGAGGGAAAATTTCAATATTATCTGATAGTGTGTATGCATTGTAGTAACATGAATAAGATCTACTTAATTTATCTTTTACCCTTCCAAGGAGTGTTGTACAATAATCATAATTGTATTAACAACATTCCAAAAAATGATAATATCCTTGGTGATAAAATTTTGTTGCAAGTGTATTTTTATTAGACTTGGCACTAAAGCCAATAATAGCCATTTCAAATATCATAATTTCTAGGTAACAACCAACAACACCAAGAAGATTGATTATATGTTTTAGATTTGGAGAAATTTCCTTAATCTTCCTGCTTTTTGTGATAAAATATTTAGTCTTGTAAGTCTTATAAAATACATAATCAATGAATCAATACTCACTTTTTTTGATTCTAAAATGAAAAAAATATTATTTGAATTAGTACTGGATCAATCAGTAGTAAGTTTTAATGCCAAAAATTTAGCTTACCCAATTTGCCAAATCTAAGAACACCTCTTGTGCATGTTCTGAAATTAGTAATGGTAATGATATTTCTTGAATACAGGCATCAGAAGATGCAATTGAATTGAATAAAAAACTTGCATGAGTCCCTGTTAAAATAACAAAAATAAAATTATTTGACACAATGAGATTTATAAAGATTCTTAAAAGTTCTTGAAGTGACTTGGATTAAAATCATGTATGTTTCCGCAAAAATATCCGCAAATTTGCGCAGCATCATGAAAATATCCAATTTTATTGGTGGGTTGGGTGCGTGTTATCCTTATTTAGAAATTGATTTGGCGATTGCGGATATTTTTGGATTGATCTCTCTCAAAAAATGCATTTGTCTCATCAATATTAATAATGAAGAGAGGGAAAGTTTTTTCACTTGGCTTGTAAATTAAGATTGTTTTCAAAACTTCATGTAGAGAGATCAAATCCTTTCCTATAATTTCACAAAATTCTTCAAAATTTTTAATCCTAGAAATAATCAAATAAGTGTAAACATATTTACATTATTGTAAATAGATCAAGTCAACATGTGTGAAATCTTACCCTTTCAGATGATACTTCAAAGCTTCATAAAGTAGTCTTCTTCCAAATAATGTTTCAACCATTTCAAGGTTTTTTAACTCACTAATATTCATATCATCACATGAAATCCAGAAAAATCGATCATTATCTAAGCAATTGTAAACGTTCAATGTTAAAAGCGAAATAAGTAATTTAATTGTTGTAAAATTACAAAGTTAATCTTTATTATCTTAATATGATGTCCTTTATATATAAAATTACATAGATTGATAAAATATAAATAATAATATAAGATTGATAAAATATAAATAAAATATAAATAATAATAATCATAAGATTCTTATCAATCTATCCGGAAGATTTTGTGGACATAGATAATAATAATAAATATAATTAAAGACACGAAATACAAATAATAATAATAAATGTGTCACGTTTCTAATGTAAATATTTATGTACCACCCCGATGTTACACATGACTTCGGAGTAATTTGTTACAGCAATCATCCAAAATCATTTGATATAACCTTAATATAAAGATCTTTGTTTTCATATTCCTTTCTTGCAAATGTAGTCTTCCCCTTCCCTGATGTTCCTACAGTGACAGGAAACACAATTTGTTTCTTTGGTTCTGCATAGCTTTTGAGATTTTCAATAAGATCATAAAAAATTTTCATGTTTTCTATCAACTGCTTGATTTCATTCTCACAGTTTACAAATTTTAAATACATTGAAATATCCAAAACATTATCAGAAAGAATTGAAGAACCATGCAGTGATTCACAAAGTTGGCTTTCTGTGTCAATAATATATGGTTATCAACTGTCAAATCTTGACCTGCAATAACAACATAATTTAATAAGAACATTGGATTTGGATTAGAAATTGAAATCAGTATAAATTGACTAAATATGATAAACTGATTATTATAAATGTAATGATAAAAAAAATTCATTCAGAGCGCAAAATTAATTAATAAGCAAAATCGCCTATATAGTTAAGAAATTAGATAATTTTATCCTTTGCTTGCAGTGACTAAAGGAAGAGAAAAAAAAACAAAACATAAGTTAGTTAAATTGTATGCAACATATAAAATCATCACTCAAACAAATAAATGAACAAAATGGTGGAATATATGAAAAAAAAATTTTTTTTTTACACAATTTGTTCATTACCCTCACCTCCTCTTAATTTCTCTTGGCACAACACCTCCCAATCATCCACCTTCTTCTTCAACCTTTTCCTCTTCTTTTTCTAACCTTTTCTTCTCCTGCTTTTCATCTTCCTTGAGCATGCTTCTTCTCATTTTCTCCCTCAACTCTTCCAACCACTTTCCGCCATTCTCCCTTCTCATACTCAATCTTTGCATCTTTCAATCCCTTTTCAATTCTTTTATAAGTTGACATTTGTTTAAGTTTAAAAAAAAAAAATTTTTTTGTATTATATATTGATTTGACCAATGATAAATTAGTGGCACATGGTTTGTAATTTATTTACAAAAAAAATTATTTTAATTCAACTAATAATAGAAAAATACATAAATAAATATTAAATAATTGTCAGAGTACTGCATAGGAGGAAAACACTTGGACCCAAAGCCATTTATAAGTATTACCTATTCTTTAGACAATTCTGACAAAAATTCAACTTTACTATTACTATTACTATTATCAATAATTAGTGTTCCATGTTGCAACCCAAAAAAGGAAACAAAATGGTCGTAACCAGCAGTTGCAATCATTTCTATATGACACAAAGGTGGTAGCAACCATCATCAAAAGTTGCAGCTGGTATCCTTATCAATAATATTATTTACTAATATTCATATTGTAACAACTATCTATCTAATTAGGTTGCTTTCCTCATTTCTCTATAATTACACTTGATGCTTTATTACTTTCCATTACCTTGGCCGAAATGACTAAACTCCATTTAAAGTTGACTGAAATTACTTAATTAAGTAATAAATCCAAAAGCATCTAATAATTTTTTACTTTTTGATTTCTAAGAATTATGATGTTGTTAAAGGTCATATGTTCTTACAAATTATTACTAATATTAATAATTTTGACATTGTCTGATAAATATAATTATAATTATAATTATAATGCTAGAATATAATAATAATGATTAAAGATTAATGATATAAAATATAGAATTAATAATAAATATACATGCAGCCAAATTGGTTTGGTGATTTTGATGGTCAAAATTATTCCAATTTTGATGGTAGAAAGTAGAAATTAATTATGGCATTCACTATTAAAAACATAAGTGTAACACACCTTTACTACATGTGTAACCCCCTTTATGACAGTGTCAAAATACTTTGGGCTGCATGTATAATAATACAGTCTGGGATTTTACCATAATCGGTATGTGAGATGATCTTACAATATGCAGTCTGGAATTACCATATCGGTATTAGTGATGATCTTTTACCATAAAAAATGAATCAGAATATTTAAACATTTTAATTTCAAAAAAAAACAACTTGAATTTAAATATAAAAACTATACATATTGATACAGTTTGATAATAAAAAAAGAAAGATTTTTATTTATTTATAATATTGTAAAATAGTAAATTATAAATCACGGGAAACTGATATATAAATCGGAGATGATTCATGAAGTTACACACAAATAAAATCGGAAAAACTGATCAAGTGATCAAAATGGTTCAATTTATTCAAACACCAATAATAATAGAATAATTGACTCACGGAAATATTGGAAAAATAAATATTCCAACATTCTAAAATGTAACAGATGACCAAATCTCAGAATAATATTTAAACGAAAGAATTTTACATGACTCATGTTGACTAGAAAATAATTCTACATGGAAGGTTTAAATAATGATGAAAAAATACATTAATTAATATAATTTAGGATATTAAAGAAATCGGAGAACTAGATGATAGAACCTCTAAAATGTATAAATACATTGTAAATTTCTCTTTCATGTAATCTTTAGTTTTTTAATAAACTCAAAGTTATTTAGTTACTCTGACGTTTTTATATAATAATATTATAATAAATAACACTGTCCTTGTCCTTATCCTTGTCCTTGTGGTCTTCAAACATTATATTTTCGTAATGATAATGAATCTATCCCTAATAACGAATTTATACTAATCCCGTGCATAATTATTTTCTCTTATTTTATATTTGTTTCTATTATTTTTATTATTTTTTATTTCTTTTCTTTTCTTTTAGTAGGTAAAATAATCAACCTTATTTTAGTAGTTTTAGTGACGTACCTGACTTGGTATATGGCAAAGAGGAAAACAGCTAGGAGGGCATCCACCAAGAAACGTGACCAGGATACATAGTGTAAAATCTAAAAAAGGATATTGATTAGTATTTCTTAGTACAAGAAATTGTTTAATGATAGTAAAAGATAGTTTTGAGAGTAAAGCATAAATATACATTCGCGGAAATTGTTATTACGATTTAGTATAAATAAACGGGAAAATTGTATCGACATGTCATCATAAATAAAAACCAAGAGATTTGCGTGAGACGTGGATTTTGATCTCACAATAGTAGTCTGTATTTTTTTTTTATAGCAAATATATTTTTAAAAATAATTGGTGTAGTCAACTATACCAATTTCGGTAATGATTTTTTACGTAATTTTTGCAATGAATTCGTTGATTTAGCGTTAGAGTTTCTATTTGTAATATAATAGTAATAGTAATAGATGAAAAAAGTACATCCGAATTCGTTCGTTCTATTGATTAGAGCACCTTTATATAGTAACTTGTACTTTTTTTTAAAAACAAAAAGTTGGCGTGTAACTTATTATTTTTCCTATTTAAATTTTTGTCTATCTGGAGAATCATTACCTCGTAACTCTGAGAATAGAATATTTGTTTGTTTATATAATAATAAAATAATAATAAATAAATAACTAGTTTTTATAATAAACAAATATATATATATATATATATATATATATTGGAATTAGCCAATAGATTATTTTCACAATTAATTAATGAAAAATTTAATGAAAAACCCAATTTTAAAAGGAACTGTAATATCATACAGACTGTATGTATTAATAGCAATATTAACAACCAAAGCTACTTGAGATTTGTTTTTTAATTTTTTTATAATATTAAATTTCTCTCATTTTCTTTTAGAATATATCGCTTATGCTTGCACCATAATAGAATCCTAAAATGAACAAAAGGGATTATTAATTCATGGCAAAAATAAAGCGTAAAAGATTTAAGCTCCATGCAATAAAATTCGTAATCTTGTAAATGTCGTCGTTTGGTTTTACTTCCCGAGTTTAAACACAAGACATGGTCAAACAAATGCTGGCTTGGCCACATTACTTATTTAAAAGTCAGCCATTTGCCCATAAATCCCTCCAAGTATCCTTGGTGGATGCTGTGGATTCCGTAGTATGCTTTATATCAAAGAGTTACACTTATTGTAGGCTTGTCTACTAAAGACTAGTGCCGTAAATTATGATGATGGTAGTAATTGTATTTACGGCATATAAAAGTGGTTGCAATTACCTTTGCGGCCACTTTTGCAACCATGCTTTTTCCTTTTCTGTATATAGGATATTCCTATATTATATATATATATATTCATTATTAATAAATAGGTATGAAAAATTCAAACAAAAGGTTGGCCTTGCATCTACTGTTCCTAATGCAGTTACTAATACACATACAATATATAATCTTTGTG